GTAATGGTCATTTACGGTAGAATGGGGGGTAGGGGAGGGAGGGGGGTGGTTACACAGATATCTCTATCAAAAGGTAATTGTCATTTACGGTAGAATGGGGGGTAGGGGAGGGAAGGGGGTGGTTACACAGATATCTCTATCAAAAAGGTAGTGGTCATTTACGGTAGAATATGGGGCGGTAGGGGAGGGAGGGGGGTGGTTAGGACTATTCTTGGGTCTCCGTCTCCCTCTCTCTACCCCACTCCCCCTCTCTATTCTGGAGAGAGAGGTTGCCTCAGAAAGGTAATGATGTGGTTCGTGAAAAATAGAATGGTATACAGTGCCTTACTCTTAAGTCCTCAGTAGATTTTGATGTCGTTAAAATTGCGACTTCAAGCTACACAGGAAAAAAGGAAACATATTCAGTACCTTATTTTTAAAATGAATCCTGAGTAGTTTTTGATGTCTGAGATGACATTACTGTAGTTGGGCAAAGTGTTTCTGTTTGTTGAGGACGTTACAAACTTTGACAAGGAAATGTTAAGTGCCTCATTTATATGTGTCACAACGTGGTGGAATCAGGGGCTAGTCTTTTTGGGCTTGTGGAGGTACTGGTATCATCTTAAAGCTTGCTCATTTGTCCATCTTTTGATGGATAAACTACCCTTCTATCTTGAATGTAAGTCGAGATATTTGTGACTGAAGGAGGTGGGGTCACCTGGATTCAGAGGTAAAGTTTCTGAGAAAATGGCGGCCAAAGTGTGGTATTTCCATAGCTTGAGAGTCCTTGGAAACTGAAAATCTACATTTGTTTTGCCGTAACCAATGTTTTTCAGTACTGTAAAATCCACTCAAAAATGTGTTTTTAAATGGACCTTAAAGGTGTTGAGCCGAAAAAACAAAAATTTTATTAAAAATTGCCAAACCGGCGGAAAATGCTGATATCTTTGATTTCATTACGTTAACGAACACCTGGTTTCATTATTTTGACGAGCGCCTGGTTTCATTATTTTGAGGAGTGTCTTACATGTGCGTCTGTTCCTGTTGCAGGGAGCGTGTGAGCAACACGACGGTGAGGGAGTTCAACATCCAGGGCCTGAAGCCACAGACCCAGTACGAGATCCGCGTGAGGGCCTACAACGGTCAGGGGCCCAGTCAGGGGGAGGCCAAGCTACGAGTGACCACTCATGAGGAGGGTGAGTTGGTTGTGTTGGATAGTGGGGGGGGG